GGGAGGACGAGAGGCTCACCGTGATGCTCCCTGCCAGTCTCACCCAAAAATAAAATGCCTTTTGCCAAACGGCACTGGCAGCCTGCGGCCTGGTGATCGCAGCTGGCACTGCTCTCCCCGAAAGCCAGTCCCAGGGCACACGGCTGCTGGAAAACCCCCCTTATCCTTAAACCCCTGCAGGGCTCATCTTTTTTCCTTTTCTTACATGAAATTCAGGACAGAATCACTGCGGATGACTTTATGGATGGAGTCGATCAAGAGGAAGAGTCCGCCGTCCTTCCTCCGGATGCTGGCAGAGTATCCCGGCCAAATCTGCAGCCTGTGCCCGGGAAGATGCCAAACGGCGCCTGGGTTAAAGCCGGAGCCGCCTGCACGGCGCTGCCAGAGGAGCCGGGCAGCCGTCCCGCTCACCGAGGCGCGCTCAAAACACACGAGGATTTATTTCCCAGCTGGCCGCCAGCTCTCAGCTAACAACCCCTGAATCTCTGAGGTCAGGCTAACCAGAGCTGGCCAAGGGAGCTGACCTGGCAAAGACTTCCCGAATTTCCAGCCTCACGTTTCTGCCAGAGGGACGGGGACGTCCCTGTCTTGAACCCATGTGCTTGGGCAGCAGCAGGAAGAAGCCATCTCCAGCACCCACCTGTAATGCTGTAACACGGTGGCCTGGGCAGGTTCAAAGAAATTTCTCCCAACAAGCTTCATATCCAAGATTCTCATCACCCTTGGAAAGAAAAATAAAAGCAGGATGGGCTCAGGATCGGAGGAAGGAGGAGGAGGAGGAGGAGGAGGAGGGTCTCCTCCCTGGAGCTCGGGGAGGGTCTGTGCCATCCCTTACCTCCGGAAAACCACGTTGTAAAAGGGGATGCAGAGATTCGAGCTGGGCTCGAGGACCTTGGTTATCTGGATGGTGATGGTGATCTCCTCCTCATCGCTCCTCCTCCTCGCCTTCAGACTGACTGGCTGCGGGACGAGATGGTGCGTTCAGCGGGGCGGGAGGGATGCCCTCCTACCCAGCGTGTTAACTGGAGACCTGGGGGGGCATCCCGGCACCCCCAGACTGGCTGGAATGCCCTCACCCTGGTGTGGATGGCATCACCCCTTACCTGGGGGAGCAGGATGGGCAGGTAGAGGATGGAGCCGTCAAACGCGGTCGCGTTCCCTGTCACCGCCCGGTGCTCCTTCAGCATGGCGAAGCGAGCGTTCTTGCATTCCACCTCGGGGCTGCCACACACGGGGGGGC